GGTGGAGCAGCGAAATATGCCAAAAATGTTTGTTTTTTGGAGCTCCAAGTTGAGACTGACCGCGAACAAACAGCTGCGAGCGAGATTATGCGCATTAGGCGTTAAAAGTACACTGAAAGTGACAAATTTCAAATGTGAGGTGAAAAAGTCGCTGTATCGACGTAAGGTCTCCGAAATTATCTTGTCCGCACTTTAGTAACCGGGCTCGAATAAATGCGGCATTACGGCCTGGAATCTGAATGTAGATCTTTGCTGTCACCTTAAACGTTAATAAGATGCCGTCTGTGAAGATTGGTAAAGCTCTCGGGATTTCCAAATCTCTGGTTTCGAATTCTTAGTAGTCTCCTTCGTACCTCGGGTAAGAACATCCCTGTTGCAGGAAGTAAAGACCGAACATAGAATGGATCTGTTAAATTTAAACTGCCAACCTGTAACACTGGAGCTTGTATGTAGTCGTCAAGAATCGCTCTCGTATTTTTGAGCTCGTTATTGAGGGGGAGTACAGACGAAGTTAAGTTACTCTGACTTGTCTTATTTTCGTCAAAATGTGTGCTCTGGCCTGTGCTATCGTCGTTAGCCTTAATGCGGAGACCTGCAATCACTTATGCCACGGATCTCGCCTAAGTGCGGAAATACGGCACCACGTCACTGTGCAATGCTATGACCTATCGCATTATCATATCATTCTGGCGAACTAGTCGTCACAAGCCCACTGCTAGGTGATCCAAACCCACACTATGACCTGAATTTGAAAGCTGCCTTTACAATGCACATATATTATCATCGCTGATGCTGTAGTGACTTGTGGTTTAAGCACTACCTTACAACTCTCTAGTTAACAGCCCGTAACAACCCGAGGAGAGTGGAACAAGAGGTAGCAGAGGACAGGACCGTTTATTATCGTCACGCCAGCCAAGTGTGTCTTTGTGTGTGGATGTGTGAATGGATTACAGGCATGTGGTACAGTAACCAATGAAAAGGGGATGAGTCATTGTCACCGTCAGGTCGGTAACCAGGGTTCACTCAGGCGCGATCCCTGTTAATCCGCTGCAATGCTCTCCTATCGGTCAGTGGTGTCCCTTCGGTGATCGGAACCGATGCAAATAGCGGTCATCAAGGTAATGTTTTCCCATGACGTTCGACTGAGCTATTTAGCAAGGCGCCCGAAGCACAAGTCCTCTTTGTTGATTTGCTGCTTCCACAAGTGAGGTCTTATTCATTACTTTCGTTTGCCTAGGTTTAAACTTGTCCTCTGAGGTATGAATTTCCCTTTCGGAAGGTTGTATTTTTGTTCATATACATCCTGTGCTCTTTCGTAGATCTGCTTGTTTCTGCCTGCACGGTGTTGGCGAGCAATCTTTTTGCTAGATTACTTTTCTGTACCACTTGTCGCATGATCGCATTTCGGTGTTTGATTGCTGAATGATAAATGGCTTGGTATGTCTGCGTCTACTCTTGCTACGAAGCCGGCTTGTGATTGTGCATCCATGTACCCTGATGCTAGCCTACGCGGTAATGCTGACATGAGTTTTCCTTCGATTTGGTTCGTGTTTGGACGCAATCTGTTACTTGGCGCATTTGAATTTGTGGCGGCTTCCTAGCTGTTCGTGTTTTGTGGTCGTAGCCAGTACGTAAATATGAGTTGACTTCTTGACACAACCCCTGACACGCTATAGGAGGGTGTGAAATGCAGGACGCCACATAATTCTATGGTCATTTGCATATATTGTTACTACCGAAATCGAACCTTAATATTGGCCCCTAACCAGTACGCGAATCGCCTATCCAACGCAAGCCCGCACCTTCTCAGTTCATGACAAGAGGAGGACCTTTTGCAAACAACTTTTGCTGTCTTAGCCAAAGGCCAAGTGACAGAATGCCAGAATGCACATCCTGCATATGCCTTCTGTGACCTTAACCCTATTAAGAGGGATTAACAGATAAGAGCCGTCAGTGTGGGCCTTAAGATCGGTATGACTGAGCGCAGTGTTGTGCAGGCAGGGGCAAAATCTTGACTATGCGAGTAACTGCTTTGGTAAATGTTGTCTTCCACATCACCTCAAGTATTTCTGTTGTTCGCCTCTGATTTTCCCCGTCAACTTCGACTCGTTTAGTTGTTCTTAGTTTAGCTCGGTAAATCCCATGCTATGGAATTGATTGGGTTCGCTTGCATTTCGGCGGGAAGTTATTGCCAATCCTCAGTACGTTTATGTAGGCCCTCGTTCCGAGGCTTGAGATCCCTGAGCTATACGCTTACAAACTTCGTCAGAGTTCTGCTACTCCAAGTAAGCCAGCCTTCTTACTTCCCTGCCAGAGCTGTTGCTGATCCGACACCAGGTATCCAGTAAAAATTGAGAAGGCCGAAAGCTACACAGACCCAACCGTTTATGGTGTGGCCGTGTTGAGCCGCTACTGTTCACACGTTTTTATGAATCCGAAAATGTTGATTACACGAGAACCCGACAAGACTGTTCACAGTGGAGTGTCAGGATTAAGTGGTCCGCGGAGAATGCGTAAACGCAGTGGCCACTCATGTGTGACCCGTGGTGATGGTCGTGGATTAGCCAAATTCACCAAACAATCCATTCTGAAACCTGGTCGAAGTAAGTCTCCTTTAATTGCCACGATTTCCTTCACAGATTAAATACGCTTGCGTCAGTTTCGTGTCCGTCAAGGGTGTTTTGCGTGGGCATCACGTGATTTGAGGGGTGTCTGTACATTGTTTCCGATCATCGCTCTCACTAGTATTTTCAATGCCCGCCTGCTCGCTGTACACCATTCGTCCCAGTTTTGCAGCGCATTCTTTCGCATTTTTTTAGGAAGATGTTGATATCAACAAAGAACCATGGTTCCACGGTGTTCTTCCGCGGACCGAAGTTGTTCGGTAGGTTCTGTGCTTAAAACCACCGCAGTAAAGCCGTTTTGGCACTTTTGATTTTGATTGATTGATTGATTGATTTTCCTTCTCTCATCCCAGTCTGCCGACTCATGTTGCATTTCAAATATCACTTCGCCATATAACTTCCGGTCATTCGTGTCATAACCCCAACTGAGTCAATTGAACCTCACAGATTGAGAACTGATTAGTTCAAACTACTTTTAAACATGGTAAATGGCTTATTGTTAAATCTGGCGTGCTCCACTTTAACTAACTACGTTTTCAATTCCTGGACGTAAAGCCCACTTTGATATCTGACTTCAACAATTATTCTTTCTCTGTCGCGCGTAAGCTTTAAGTGTCGTAGGAGATCTTCTACCAAGTAGTATTTTTATGCTCCAAACGCCAACTCTGAGATCTATAATTATCTTCTTAAGTACCGCGAAATAATGGCCTTGTGTTTTAAGATCCCCGAATGTGGCGCCGACGTCTTGTGGAGCTTATGTCACCCTCATATCGATTCCTTGAGCCCGAATCTTCAGCTTTTATTTAAATTTATTTAAATTTCGAAGCTGGCTAATCGTGACGAGTCACATCGTGATCTCTTGCCACTCTGAAGTGTTTTGTTCTGGCGAACTCTCAATGCATGAGGGAATGTTCTCGCATTAGCACCGAAATTAAACGCATTCCTTTATTTTCTATTGTGCCGTTATTCTTCTTGCCTTGCTTTCCCATTTGATGCATTTTTGTTTATCATATAAGTGAAGTCGTCACATTGTCGCGGTGCCCGTATGTGCTACTATCCTGCGGATAATCCAGTGGTTGTAATGGTATATTTTTAGATTTTGTGTGAATTCTCGCGGCTTAATCTTTCATTCCACATCAGTTGTTTGCGTATGCGGACTCAATTAGTTGGAGCTCCGTTAATAGTACGCTCGTCAAGAATCGCGCGTGTCAGTCCTATTGATTGAAACACCCATTAAACCAGTTGCCATTGGCTCTTTATGCAGAATCGTCGCGGATTTTTTTAAATATTTTTAGATCCCTATTGTAAATTGTGTCCCAATGCTACTTCCAACGAGCGGTTTGTTCTTAATGCTTGATGGCAAATGTTTCGAACACGAAAATGTACTGTTCTTGTTTCACAAACACAGGATGATCGAATTTCGGTCTTATGTTGCCTAAGATTATTTTCCTTATTCAAATTCGGGTGCCTCAATTTTTTCCCAAAATATAAAATAACGAATCAAAGTTCGTATTTCCTTTGTAACTACAACCCTCTTCAACTAAATGAACGCTTCTTACGTCGGGTAAGCCAACCTGCACGTTCTGTTGTTTGAAATCACGTTACCTTATTCTCCTTTTCTTCGTTGTGCAGTTCTCGTTTTTGCCAGGTGGTACTCGTTATTGACGCATCAACCATTAATACGGCTTTACAATCTCGACTCTTAGACTTTTACAAAATCAAGGCGACTTTTTGGTGCGCGAAACAAGCAAAGCCACGTCGAATTCTTACCTCGTGCGACGTAATCGAGGGCACCGCCAAAGACGAAGCGAATCGCCCACCTCAACGAACCTCTGGTCTGTGTCGTCCACCTCAACGACAGTCATCACCGGTGGGTCCTCTTCCACCACTTCCATATTCCCTTCACAGTCTACCGAGGATATCCGGTCTGATCGTTGCAATGGAGTCAATGGAAAGGTCGTGGTCACTAAGATGGTCCTCTCAGTGTACTGGAACGGCCATAAGCACTTTATCATCCAGGGTGGCGACGAGGCCGCGGAAAATGGCTCCGGGGATTTGGGCAACCGACGTGGCGGCTGGTCTTTTGAAGAGTACGAATTTCCAACTCTAAGGTAGGCATGATTTAATACCAGTTTGTTTCGGTTCGTGCAACAGTTTAGCGCTTTTAACCAGAACCACATGCTCCACAGATAACCGGTTCTCCAGATCCCTTGTCTGCTGCTAGATCCCACCTTTCCAGTTCAGGACAAGGACAAGACTTTGTGTAGAAAACTTGCCATCTCAGGCAAAGAATGAGTTATGTCAGGGTGTGTCCGCTTATGCAGGTCAAGGATGACCTTGACCTGATGGATCAAGGCTGATGAACGCGGAGCTCTCAGTGAGGCGCCACGGTTAGGGAAGGTGTGTTAACAACTACGAATCTTAGTTAGCAGATATGTAGGGTATTTGGTCGTAATCCTACATTCCCGTGGATGTTTAATGGTTTCCCAGCACCGTCACTCCACCCCTCAAAGAAACTGGACACAGCATTAATAGTTTGGTTCTCATAGCTAACCAGATCTGGGAGGATATTTTTGGTTTGTTTGTTGCTTGGTGTTGAGAAAGAACTGCTCTACAAATGCTCTTTTTTATTCGCCGTCCCCTCTCGAAGTATTAATATGCCACTTGCCTTCCACTTAGGGACCTCATCGAGTACCACATGAGAACGGGAAAACCCGTCACCCAGTCCTCCGGTGCTCTCCTCTTCAACCCCATCTCACGACCTGACTGGCAACTCGACAACAAGGATGTTATTTTACTAGAGAAGATCGGACAAGTGAGTATTGCATCCATGCACAATTTTTCCTACTCTTTGCTGCACATCGCGACGTCCAAACAAGCCGATTGGATGAAAATTTCCATCGTCATTTAACCTCAATTTGTTTTCATAAAAAAATGTAATTTTACGGTAGAAATTGTAGGTAAACTGTCCATTTCTGGCTGTTCTCAGGGTTGTTTGTTAATCCTAACTCAAATCGTCAGGTATTGTCCCATGTTAGTGCAACTTTATCGATGTCTGCGACCCGCACACTCGCATTACTTCCTATTCAACTCGCAGAACTTATGCTAAATTTTATTTAATTCTGGGCAAAGGGTAAGTTGTCGATCTCCACTATATAGGGGAGGCCCCACTACTTTGCCTAGCTTTCGATTCTGCCGTCTTAACAAACAATCGCAGTGTTGCTCCAATGTGACCACGCTTTGTTTGACGTTCGGGACTTGATTAGGTAGTACATGTCACTTGGCGAATAGGTGTCATGGGCGTTTGTTGTGCTAGGCACTCCAGTGATTCACTGGTACCCACAGTGGAGCAGACGCTGTTCTGGGGATTACACGTGTCACCGCAGTGCACGCGCAATTGTCTGCATACGCAAATCTTCGAGTGGTGGGTGAATACACGGATGTTTGATTCACATTTATTGACACAGGGAACACCCATAACTTTTCACTTCTTCCTAACCCTTCTGTCACCGCCGTCAGGGGAATTTCGGTGAAGTCCACCGTGCTATATACAATGGACGAGAAGTTGCTGTGAAGACGTGTAGAGCAGGACCCGCGGAAGTCGAGATCCGGCGAAAGTTCCTTCTGGGCGAAGCCACTGCTCTCAACTTCTTTCATCCAAACATTGTCCGGCTTCTTGGCATCGCCGTGCGCTCCCACCCCATAATGATCGTCATGGAATATGTGTCTGGTTCGTTTGCTTATTCTCTGTGAACCCTGTTATCTTTGCCTGCTTCTTTAGAGGGCCGATCACCTGTTTTCGAATGCGAATGACGGTGGCTATTTGCTTTTGTTTAGTGTTGCGTAGCGTCTGAGAGCATAAAAACTCTCCCATGGTGGTTTTACCCCTATGCAACTCTGAATTGGTCGTGGTGCGCCTAATCGACACCGTGTGTCAAGTTAATTTGCCTTCTTATGTAACAGTTAACGATGGAATCTGGTGGACGTGTTCGCAGTTGACAGCCTTTTCCATGAATGTTAAATTTCCGAGATTAAAGGTTGTGCCATCTGCAAACGCTGCACGGTTGTTTGACCTTGACCAAAGTTTGTAAGGTCTTTGATCTCGGGATTTAGCAACACTCATTAATTTCTAGCTGTGCCCGTAGCAAATTTTGGAGAGCATGCTTGCCACAGAGATTACGTGAATTCCAATTCAAATTTCGTGGAGTTCTTGGGGTTTCGTGAGTTGTGCGAGTGAATAATTATATGCACTTTGCTACCATCCCACATTTTGGACGGTAACTCATCAACAGAAAACGAATACCATTTTTGGAACTCATCATCTTCGCGCGCCAATAGTGGCGTCAAGTGCAAATTTTTCTCGGAGCACACATTTTCATGCCTTGTTAACTTCTCTACTGTCCGTGTTGTTTTGCCCACACCCAGTTTTGTAACTCGCGTGTCCCTAACTTTATCACTCCAAGTCACGCACTCCCGCCTTCGCTTTACTAAGAGCCCTCTCTCCCATTCTCAACGCAAATCGCGTGTCCTGCTTCCAGGCGGCCAAAGCCAGCAAGCAACCTAGGTGGCCTCGTTATTTGGGGGAAACCTCGTGGGCTATTGCCTTACTGTCATCTTGTTGTTGTCGGCCACTGAGTTCAATACAGTCCGAATACGCTACTTTGTTGCCCACAGGAGTAGGGAAGACCGGAGATGGCGGAGACACGACCGTTTACTAGACAACTCAACCGTCTTGTGCTAGCCGCGCCGCTGCGTACAAACGTGTGTCTGACTAGGCGAGGTTGTTTACTAATGCAGTCTGGGTGAACCCTTAAAAGTACAAACGGCTGAACACGCATAAACGCGTGTCTGACCAAATGAGACTGTTGACCCATACAGTCTTGGTGAACCTGCAAAAGTACAGATGGATGAATGGAACGGGTTGCGTGGGGGGGAGGGGAAACGCACAGGGGTGTGTGAGCAGGCGGCTTAGCAAGATCGACAGGGACGGGATGGGAACACGGTCAGAATGGCAAAGAATGCGACATCTGGATTATTGGCCATGCATTAATACATGTCACTGCATGTATTGCTAGATCGCGCCATGCACCACAACTGGCTACCGTTTCTGTCGTGAACTATTCATTTAAGTGGCATTTAATTTGGCATTTGCTCAAAAGGCGCATTCCTGTTCGTGTTGTTAATTGCGCGTTGTCGCCATCTTTGTCATCTGTAAGTTGGTGAAGTCAGGTCCGTTAGGCTTCAATGATTGTGTCGATTTATCGAATCATGCGTTGTGCAAAATAGAAGTCAATCGGACCTCGTTGCAATATCCACATGACATGTCATTAACGCAGGAACCATTGCTTTTCTGGTCGACATATGCCATGGGCTCATGTGAAGCCGCCTTGCCTTTTCTTTTTCGACTTAACCGGTTTTTAAAAATGGCGAAAATTTGGTTTTTTTTGTGTCAGCTAAGTAAGAAACCCCTCAATCATAGCAGTATTTTTTCCTGCTATGTGTGGTTATTTTGCGATTGTCATGCGAATTGACAAAATTGAGGTCTCAATTTTATCCGCTTGTATGTTTTTCTGAAAATGCCTCTTGTGTGAAGCCTCATTCGCGCACAAATTCTTGCGCCTTTTTCCTCTCAACGAATTTTGCCATAAAACCACCAAAGATACATTGCAGAACTGTCACTGTTGAGTAAATGCAGGTTGGATCCCGTCGATGTGCTTGAAGGTGAAAGCCTGACTCGGGTATACACGGTGTAAGTTTTCGCAAGTTTTAATCAAATAGTTACTTCTGAATAGTCCCGGGGTTCACTTGTCAAACAACCCTTCTTTTTCATTGGACAGTTATGTTTTTTTTAAGCTTTAGCCTTAGCATCTACATTGTCTTCATGCTCACTGTATCCGGCCTCTTTTACAGGCATTCAAAAACAGGTTTCAGTAGTGCTTGTGTTCCTTTAACTACCTCCAATTATCAGGCTATATTTATCAAAACCTTTTTATTAAAAAATGACATTTCTGCTGATGGCACACATCCCCGTGAATGAATGAGGGCTGACATCAGTGTGCGTTTCTCGCGTATGCAGAAAGTTCTTTTTAATTAATTTATTGTTATTTGACTCCTGAGGAGCTGTCAGTGTTGTTGGAGCCAGCCACAAGGGTGTTTATTTGGCACTCTACTCGCAGGATTCGCCTTGCTTAAATTCACTCACTGTTTAGTAATTTTGACCGTTTTATTATTCAGTTTTTACTTTTATCATTCCAATACATCAGTCACACACTGGCGACAAGGGTGTATGGGTATTTGCCACAGTAACGTTATTTCAAGTCGACTAACTTGAAAGGGATGTGAACGGTTTTGTCCTGGAGATAGATGTCTTCGTTCAAGTGACGGGGTTTGTAGTTTGGGCTGGACACATTCATCCATAGAGCGTTGCACTTTCAAAAGGCTGGGGATCCTGATTCCCCTCAAGCGTGGCTGCCAACTGTAAACTCGCTGGTGACCTGCGGGTAGTGGATGGCTTTCTGGATGCGGGGAAAGGTTGTTACCCGGAATGAGCATTAGATCATGTGTGAAACTGTTGCTAGCACAAGTCGATGAATTGACAAGGATCGACGGCCGCATGGAGTATGTGTGATGGTTATAGTGGTGTAATGATTGACAGTTATTCATTTGGGATGGTCACTGTGTATGCAGGAGTGCGAATGTGGTTGTGCGCGTTCTATGTTTATTATATTTCAAGCCAAAATTTCATTTGTTGGTGTCCATCACGCACCTGTCGTGCACGAAGGACTTTCCACGTCAAACATAACCGAGGAGACTGTTACTTGGTGATGTAGTGGATGCGGTGCCAGCATCCACCACAGTCACCGGACGTGGTGTCAGTCGACTGCTTTCACTTCCGTTTCCCATTTAAAATGCTTGAAGTGGGCACTAATAGAGGGGAAGAGTATTGGGGTTCAGGGGTTTACATGGGCGTTGTCTATTTTCTAAACACAGTATTTGGGGCAAAATTTGGTTGTTTTAACTTTGACAGTTTGGGTTCGTTGTTGGCTGAGATGAGTTTCTGCCAGACGTCTTACTTGGAAAAGTGGATGGAATTAGATTGTGATTCAACTGTCTTTTCCCTTAATAAAACACGTCTTGTCTTTACGGATTCACAAATAACTCGGTTATTTCTAACCCCGAGTCCTTATTTTTGCTGTGTTCACCGCATTATCTCGCAGTAAGGCACGCGTTTGTAGTGCTACATTCGTTTGGTATTCCACTTCGCTTGATTGATATTTTCAGGACACTGGTGTTGCGGCACTGCTCTGTTCGTTGCCAACTTCCCGTTAGTGACTACGCTACGAGCCAGGATCGACCTCGTTTGCTCATTGTTCGGAGCGTTTTTGCACACTTAAATGCTTTTCGCTGTTATTGGTAATGGTGGGATTCACAAAAGCGCTGCATCAACGCTCTTTTATTCTAAATACCGCTGAGCTGCATTGGCTTCTAGAAGGCACGCACGTGTGCACGTATTAAAACGACTTTATGATGTGGGCTTGCGTGTTTCGGTAGCCCCACGAAAGAAGCCTGTTTTCGTGGGTGTTTTTAAAAATGCCTATACTATTTAAATGCCAGGGTAGACATCTTTCCCGTGCTATAAAATAAGGCATAGGCTTTGGGTTGAAGTTCATGCAATGTGCTTTTTGTACTTTCAAATGCATTCGTTTGGATTTTTCCGATGGCTATGACGTATATAATCACAATCAAATTAGACCAGTAGCTTAGTCACATCTGGATTGAGTTGCTTCTCAAAGATCAAGTCAGCCTCTTGATAAGTCGTTTTGTTTGCCTTACGATCCGATGCCTCTGAAACCCAAACAGTGGCTTTCCATTGTTGTGAATCGTGTTTATTCACACCCCGTAAACCGGTTGCTCCACCTCCGGCACAGTGCTCCCCTTTTCGCAGCATGTCACCAGCCGCGCGGACCCTCAACTCCCCCCTCATTCACGCGGAAATTTATCTTGGATTAACCTCACAACTAGGTCTCGATGTTAGCGCATCTATGACTCACCCACACATGCCGGGGCCCACAACACCATGTACTTTTGTAGCCCAACCGTGTACTTGGGAATCTCTAACCTTGACAACTTAAGAACGTGCCTATTCAGTTTATTGATTAATCACACAGCGCTACGATTTGACTATGAGGCCCTTCTGCAACGCCTAGTTGCGTTTTAGTTCTCGAGGGTGAATTCAAACATACTTTTGTTTCTCTACACTTTCGGTCCTTTAAATTCTACCTTCCTTTCAAGCTCTACTCCACTATCTTTTTATCTTGGCTGAGAGCAATCAGTAACGTGAAGTAGGTGTAAAAGCAGCAGTTTAATAGCACGAAGGAAAAAACCTACTCGGATGGTTAAAGGTTGGTAGTTATTGTGTTTACACGCCGAAAATCAGCGTCACAATAGATTGGCTCAGTTAAGGAAGCACAATAAAACGTCTTCGCGCTGCAACACCTATGAAATGCAATTTACGAAGCATCTACACCTCCATGATCTCGCATGGTTTTATCGATCTTTCATTGCACCGTTACAAGTCCATTTCCGGTTACTTTGGCTTCTTTTTAAATTATCACAATTATTTTTGGAAACACTCGCACACTTAGTTCATATTATCTTTGTTATAGTGAATGATTAATTCTGGCCGAATAATCACTGATCGCAAGAAGGTGAAGGGTTTAATTCCATTTGGGTGTCAATGCGCCTTTCTTTGCTCTAACTTGCTTCAATACCCAGTGGTACCCCAAATTTAACGAATTCTCATCAAATATTGCCGTAACCTGGTAGCCATCGCCTGCGTTGGTACTTCTTTATAAAAAGCAGGCGTTGCCCTTCGTATTACTGCAATTTTTGTGGCGACATGCGGAATTATCTGATTGACGAGTTAGACGATCTTGCCATCGACAAGCGTTTCTCCAGTGACGATGTGTTGCATTGAGAAATTGCTAAAGCTCTAGCGAGGATGCTTTCTGTCGGTTGGAAGAAGAAATGCATGGTTGGTATTATTTCCGCCAAATTAGCCATTCTTTAGCAATTAAGTCGAACACAGGTGTTGCAACTGTACATGCTCGGTGCTAGTTCACATTGACCAGCTTCTATTTTCGCGGTTAAAAAGATTTGATGCCTCACCTCACTAGTTTTCAAATATCTGTTCCCACTAGGCGGATCACTCCTCTCTTTCCTCCGAAAAAGCGGTCCAAATGCCGACGTTCGCCTTCTTCTGCGAATGTCCGTGGACGCGGCAAGTGGAATGGCCTACTTAGAGTCTAAAAACTGCATTCACCGGTAAGCCACCGTCTAACTAGCCGTCAAGACTGACCAAGTCTATCGCTATACCAAAAGTGTCGTTGTCTTGGTACTTTTATTAGTAGACTAGTTTGTGGGGTTATGTGTGGCAAAATTGCTTGCACTATGAAATGAGGATGTAGGAACTACTCCAAGTGGACTGCCAGATGATAGGCATGGCATTCTAATTCAGCGGTGTTGTGTTCTTTTGTGTTTTGACAGAACTTTTGTTTTTGTGCAGATTCGATCCTTGTTGGCTTCCACACGGGTGGTCAGAGGTCTACCTGCCTTGCGTATTCACCTGATTAATTGGAGCCGGAGAGATTTTGTTTGGGGTATTCTGGCGTGGTATAGTTGGATCGAGTTATTGACTTTAGACTTTCGCTAATTCCATCTACTCTCTTTGAGATGAGCTGCTGAAAACAGCCCCAATTCCCTTTTACATAACCATTTAATTAGCGCATTACGACTCTAGTCACGGTTAACTACGGAAAAATGCCATTGAATTGTTTTCTGAAAATTCGTAATTTGGCGCTTCTCTACATCGGATTACTGGCAGTCCTTTTATCACAGGCCATTCTTCGATATTACATTCGACTAATCAGCTTACGGACGTGAAAGGCACTGCCCGTTAAGTTGTGTGATCTTCCGACAAATTACTTTTGTTGAACCAACAGCGCGTAATTTATGATTTGCATTAGTTGTGGAGTGGCTATTCTTCATCCATTGCTTTAATCCTTCTTCTAGTGATCTTGCTGCCCGTAATTGCCTCCTAACCGAAGAGCGAGTGCTTAAAATCGCCGATTTCGGGATGGCTCGCGAGGAACACGTCTATGAGGTTAGTTTGGCCGCCGACCACTCGTGCAACCTTTGTCATCCAACCAATCATAATTTTGCATTAAGAAGTGCCTTCACGACCTCTATTTTCACGGACCAACAAATCTTACTTTGAACGTTTGTCACCGTATCTTTGTGTGATTCTTTACGTCCATAAATCAAAACTGTTTTATCATAAGTTTGCATTATTTCACCGTTCCGTTGATTAACTAAGACGATTACGCCGTTATGTATACTAACCGGGTTCTGTCGCTTGTGTACCCAAGTCGTGATGGTCGATTTTCGAGCCCAACTTAGCTTTTCGATGCTAATGAATTTTGTGGAAAGCATTTTTTCGCGTTTGTGTGTAAGTATTACTTAATTTCCGTGTCGATCTGATTTGATACCAGTAGCGCTGTTGTGAGCGAGGCATCGTCGGATACCTCTCCGATAGCCCAACAACTTCAATTACTACCACTGAGACGGCTGTGGCAGTGACGCCCAGTGTGTGCATTCATCCTCCTATTAAGCAAATACGAATTTGTGAAGACTTTTGCGATGTGTTGGTTTAGCTTTCGGACCAGATTTTACTCACACTTGGGGTCAGGCAGTGGCTGCTCCAGTAGCGTATTCCATGCTCTCTCACACACACACACACACACGCGCGTTAGCACAATCGATGTGTGCACATGTAATCAAGTCACAGACAACTCGTAGTGCTCCCGAATGCATTCTAATTTCTCACAGCACCGGTGCTATTTTTCACAAATTCCTTCCACATAACTTCGTCGTCGGTTTCTTTCAACTCGTATTAGCAACGCGGCTTACCCATTCTGTGTACCCACCAACACAAAGCCTGCCCAATAGTTTCATAGCTGCCCTTTTTGCAACTCATTTCAACCGAGTATGCAGTATTTGCGTGAATCGCATTGAGCACTCTATGGGCATGTTTGTTTCACGGGTTATTTTCGAAGCAGTCATTGCAAAATCTGCAATCATTGCCCCCTTCCCTGCGCTAAACTCCTATTTCATTGGTTTGTATGTCTCTTAAGTAATTATTCATAACTTTGTTTTTTCACAAATGAACAAAGTCACTTCAATTCCGTGTAATTAAAACAACTTTCCATTGGTAAAATCTGCTCGATAGAATATGTGCAGTTTTTCTACATGTTGGCGAATGTTCTGCTGTAATGTCGGTAATGAGTGCGTATCCACGTTTGTCTTTTTGCCTTTTCTGTCAGCCTCACAAATCACTTGCTCTCTGAATCCCAACAACGCCCTCGTGACGCGATTGAGGCAACACTTTTTTTCCGTGGGAGTTTTGCAGCCCCGCTAGCACATTTGATTAGTCGCTTGTCATCTATCGGGTGTATGATGTAATTTGTACAGATTTTTTCTCCGAGCTGAAGATTGCATCTAAAATAGAAATAACTTCGCAGTCTTTTGTGGTTCAGAAAGGATCGGACGCAATGCCTCGAAACCCCCATACAGGAAGTCTGTGAATTACACAACCTCTCAGCATAACAGAGTTTATGGTGGCAGTTGATAGAGCGCACACGGAATTTAATTTCTAGTGTTTTTGGTGCCGACATTGTGTCCTATGAAACGTGCAGTTATTGGTGCAGACGTTTTAAAAGTGCTGATTCCGATCTTAGTGACCAGCCTCGAAAGTTTGAAGATGCGTGATTGCAAGCTCTACTGGATGGTAACTCAATGCAGACGTTAGAACAGATTGTCGCTCAACCTGGAGTCATCCAAGCAGCTTTTTCTGAGCGCTTGCTCAAAATGGAAAAAATTCGAATCTTGGAAATTGGGTGCCACATGTGTTGACCGAAGTCAACCTAGGCCAACGCATGCACGCATGCCTTTCGATGCATCTCCTTGAAGAAGGTCCTCCTGTGCGCCTGTTGGAAAACGAAGGGTGCGCTTTATAATGTACCTCTGGAGACTGGACGCCAGATGGTGACTGAGGAACGCTGCAGCCGACAATTGAACAAGCGATGCATAGAACTTGATCAGAAGAGACCATTCACTGGGCAAGGAAGTAAGCAAGTCACACTGCTGCTGCTGCATGGCGACGTTCGACCACCTCAAGTCGCTTGCGTGACTCACAAGACCCTCTTGAACTTGGGATGGGAAGTTCTCCTACAGGCGGCATATTTACTTTTAAGAATTGGTTGCTACATTGCGTTTTCCTACTACAGCCGTCATGGGCATTAGGCGTGTACATACATATACCATAATTTTGTATTCCTACCTTAATCAAGTTCACGCGGCCTATTTGCCAGACTAGGCTACATCCGACTATCACGCCTTAGTGGAGAAACAGTTCAAAGCATAGCAAGATTCACGCGAATTCGTCGATGACTTCATTGCCTTGAAGCCCTCAAGTCTGTTTCGCGACGATATTCGTACGTTACCTAAGCTATTGCGCAGGGTCGTTTAGCACGATGGACGGTATTTCCAAGACTGCGTTCGTTGTCCTCTACTTTTTATATGAAATACATTTGCTGAAACATCTGTAAAGAGTTAAGTCATACACCTTATATTTAAACGCAATCGGTCGCCTTCGGAGGGACAGTCTCGTTGTCAAGCCTCTGTGTGTGTGTGTGTGTGTGCGTACGCCACCCACTGACCACCCACCCTAATTGCCCTACCCTCTTCTTAGCTTGGGCGGTCCGCGGAAGAGGGGGAGAGCAGGAGGCACAAAAAGCCTAAAAAGGTAATTCCCACCACCCTCTCTAGCAAGCATTCTTATGCGTTCAACAAACCTCACCGCACCTGTGTCTTGTTTTTTTCCCACTCGCTATTTTTCCTCTCCCACCCCACAGACACACACACACACGCCCTAACAAGTACATCCGTTTGAGTTTCTGTCGAAGCTGAGCCCTGGTGCAGCCCTCCTCAAACCGCGCATTTAATTAAACTTGCAGTTAAGCGATCGCAATGGACCGATTCCGATCAAGTGGACAGCCCCCGAGGCGCTCTACTCCAATCGCTACACAAGCAAATGCGACGTCTGGTCGTTTGGCATCCTGCTGTGGGAGATGTTCAGCGGTGGCGACACCCCCTATCACGGTCTCACAAACAGTGAAACTCGGGACCTCGTTGAGAACGGTACGTTCTCGAACCCGGGCGCATTTGTTTGCACAAGTTAACCTTTGCCACTTTTAAGTTATTAATTGTCTGCTTCTTATTTATTTTGTGTGTAACTCTTTTTACCGAGTGAAGGTTAATTCGTCCCCGGCTTTAAACGTACTAAGGCTTATTATATTATTGTTAGCCTGGATAATTTTTATCTTGTGGTTTCTCTACATTAGATTGCTTGAAAGACGGTGTCGAAATGTGTGACCGTCGTGATTAAACTTTGTCTGCAGGTAGTAGGTTGTAATGCAAGCACCTTTATTGCTATACAAACACGTGCAAAATTAACATCAAATTTCTAAAACCATGTCGTTCCCAATTCCAAATTTGGCCTTGAAAGGATCCGGTATTTGGGTATTACGGCAGAGGGGGATAATCCAGGTCTTCTGTCCACTGCATCTCATGTGTTTCCTACTGTATCTCGTTAGCGACGTCGTGTTACTTTCTGTCGATTTAAGAAATTAAAACTAAGTCCTTGACTTTTTCTTCACGGTAACTCTTTAAATTGTTTGGCGTACAGTGTATGATTGCCGGTTTTATCAGCCTTCCACCGTTGTATCCAAGCACACGCTATAGTTTCCCTTATATGACGATCTCTCCTTAGACAGGGCTTTCTTCCTCTCCATTTGACCATTGTTAAAATTCAGATCTAGTGAGGGAGGCACCAAAACCCTATGCTTTTTGGCTGTTCTCATGCTCTTCAAGTACTTTACTGCGTCTGTACTCTAGACACTGCGCCTTGCCAACGCCTGAGTGTATTCAGGATCGCTGTTCACTTGTTACAGATTAACCTGCAGATTCTGTTTCACAACTCACACTTGCACAGATTTTTGTACTTTTCTTTTTTATGCACTGCACACCTTTCGTTGTCATGTGTTACATTTCCCAAGGCATTAAGTCCTGGGCGTGGTCTCAGCACTCGATTGCACAAAAGAGGTTCGTTAGAAACACCTTGGTCAGTAATGACGGAAACAAAAGCGCCCTGCTCGAAGCGACGTACACAGTGTTGACTTCACTGGGTAAACATTTTCAACTATCGCCGTTGTCACCTTGGAAAGCATGTATGAATCAACTTTTTATCAAAATCGCAAATCCTTAACGGAAGTCAACTTGTTCGAGTAATGTGGTAACCTGATGCCTCGTTTTTCTATTGTGAATTTGCTCCATGTTCGCATCACGAGTACGTTGCCTAGACCCACCACACTGCAGCACTTTATTAAGAAGTAAATCACGCCTATTCGGCTGCCCAACATCGCTTGTGCGACTGATGATAAGCAAGTTTTCGCTTTAATATCAAACTTGCCGACCATTCTAGGTTATCGTCTCGCCATACCAGACCGAATGCCTCGCCAGTTGGGCAAACACATGCAGTCTTGTTGGTATCAGAATCCCAATCGTCGTCCAACCTTTGCTAGCCTCGTAATTGCGCTGACCCAACTAAAAAGCGACTTCGACGCCAGCGGCACCAGCGCAGTCGCTCCCGAAACACTCCTGTCTCCGTCCACATCGACTGCTGTGCCAACGTCCAACGATGGAACTATTCAGCTTGGTCAAGTTTCCCACCACTTCAACCAGCAACAGCAAGTCAAGGTGTCAGAGGTACGGCCGACTGCTAGCGAAAAAGATCGATTGCGTCCATCGGCGCTGTCGGCTTCCACGGACCCAGGCAGTTCTTCATCGCGTTTACCACGAATGAAGCCAATGATTTCAGACGCCCCGGAGGAAGCGGCTGGAGAGGTCGACAATTCCCCTACCAAATGCCCTGATGGCGAGCGTTTCGAGCTGTGATTGTTAATTTATCTTCATTTTTTAATCCATAATATTACTACCTTTAGGTGCGGTTACTGTACTGAATGCAGAGTTTGCCCCCTTGCCCTCGCCTCCTTCTCCACTTCCTCCTCCTCCTCCTCCTCCTTCGATTCTTGTGTAATTTACTGACTCTCTTGGTCCGAAATGCCGCATCCACACAGACTTGCTCTCATTCCCTACTTACCGTGTTTTATACTCTAGTACAAAGAAGCACGTGTAAATGCGACCGATTGGTTATGAAGTCTTTTGCGGGGTGGCGCGTGGATGTGTACTTGCATCAATTTCCTTATTGTAGCTAATTTTCATTTGGTGTCAGTTAGTGAAATTCAAAATGAAGACTAGGGCTCTTAGCCGTGTCAGAAATTTTATGTTTCCAGGGTTAGTAGAGCGCTGGAATATTTCGGTTCCCTCAGTTTGACTTTGTCACTTGTGCTGTGACCAATCAGAAGTTTGGCGGCGGCTTACAGATTCCCATTGAACTCAAAATTCGTCCCCAGGGCTTTGTTGATTGGAGTGCAGTTGGCCTTGGAGTCTTTTGTTCTTTTAGTCTAAGGGTTCGTTTTAGTTTAATGACTTAATCTGTTAGCGTGTCTTCGAGTGACTCTTTGTGGGGAAGTGTTTTTTGAATAGGTTTGCTCCCAGAGTCTAAAATTAAGTGTATTTCGAATATGTGACCAGTGTACGCAGTGACGACGTTAGAAATAAAATTGCGGTATCCAATAGGTGGAGTGCATGTCGGTCATAATCGTTATACTTGCTGAAATTGTAACGACTACTAGCAATTATCCAGCCAAAACGACATGGTGCATCCGTGAGTAGGGATGTAAGTAGGGTATTTTTGTAAAACAGTGAAGATTAAAAGAACCGAGATGATTACACATGGGGAAGGGTTAAGAAAACGGGCATGATTGTGGCGACGGGTCGATCAAGCATAAAGAGGTTTGACAGATGAGATTAAAAAAATCCGGCCTTAACGAAAACTTGTAAGCCTAGTCCTTATTTCGTAATTATTAAATTAGAAATCAATCGAAAGCGCCACGTAGTGGTTTGGTGTACAATTACACATGGTAATATTGGAATAAATGATATTTCTACATGTTGACGACCGAGTTGGTCCGGTAATTACGAATGTTGTTTGCATAGGCAAATAATCGACATTACATTCTTGATTACATAGCCATGATTTTAAGTAATCATACCCAACAACAAACTCTATTTGTGTAATGTGAACTCGAACAGGTGTGACCACTCTTCTCGGGTTGCCAGGTGAAAGGCTCTTTATTACATGGAATCTCATGCCTACTAAAAGCCTTTAAAAATGTTTTGGCAAATGGGGAAATCAAAGATCGACGCAAACCACCGCAATCGCCTATCACTTCAAAGGATCACCGCATCGAAAATGCAACAAAAAAAATTTTGGTAATTTTCTCATTGGGCACTTGCTTAGGAGGGACCTACTGCTAAACAATGTGTGCACGAATGCTTATTGAAATATTCGTTATGAGGAATGAATAAATGAGTGATTAAATAAGTCAAATGCTATTAGTTCCTTTACAAGTAATCGAAATTTACCATTTTAATTAATGGGTGCCATTGTAACCCTTCTGGCACCTTATTTAGAATAAATCTGTTATATTTTTTCTTAACGTTAATTTTCTTAAAGACTGCCTGAAAGTAGTGCAATTAAGATAATTAGCGCCATAAACCTTGTACTGAGGACACCGCGGACGCATTGGTCGATGTAAATAGAGAGCTGCTTTTATGCTTTCTGGTAGGTAGCAATGATATGCTTCAGAAACCTCCTATGTCCCGATTTCTGACACTTCTTCACATCCGGTTTAAACTCTTTTTCCGCAGTCCTCTGCATGTACACAAGATGCACGTGCATTGGGTTGCTTAAAATAGGCATTGCAATTAATTCTAATGCCTCCTTCTACTGCTGGCTTGCGGGTCTCACACCATTCCAAATTATAGTCGAGTTTATGGTTTAGGGATTTGGAAAAAGTCTTCTCAGGCGGTGGTGATCGACATACTGGCGATGAGGTAGTGCAGCATGTGGTTGGCATGACGCTGCATCTGAGTAGGACCGGGTTGCAGGGTAAAGTCCTTTCTCACCACAATTCCGATCGAGAACACGGTGATGAAGCAGCAGAACTTGAAAAGCGTAGAGCTAAACATACTGATTGCCACTGCGTTGAATCTAGGCCGATTACGTTATCATGAGAATCCACCAAGTTGAAGGAAACCGGGGAGGACTAGGCGCAACAACATGCTAAACAGCTTAACCTAGTGTTTGTTGTGCTGACTAATGCAATTGGGTGGACTAGTAAAAATACAGAAGTCTGAATGATCACATGAATAAAGCGAGATGTGGTAGTACATGCGGAGGAGTGAATAAGCAGGCGAACCCCCGGACATGCGGTGAGGAAGGGTTTGTATGCGTGGGGCTAGTACGACAAAGTTAATGGACGTAAAATCGACACGATTTACTTATGTAGGATGAGACGGTGAGCGCATGAGTGAATGAGAGCAATGGCTACCTTGGCTGCCGCCGCGTGGGGGAAATGAGGGCAACATACAACTTAATGTTGGCGGTGGTGTGCTTTTTGTTGACTACCGATGAGGGTTTTGGTCTTGATTTTTACTCAGCAGAGTAAAAAATTGGATAAAAAATTGAGAGCAGCTCACTTACAAAGGAAAAATTCCTTTGGAATACTTCAGCTACCTATTTCCGAATAATGCTAAAAAACATTTAAGAATGACGTTTTCCCATCATAGCCATCATAAACATTAGGCATATGCATACATATACCATAATATTGTATTGATTCAAAAATAATTTTCTTGTTACTGTATTTTTCATATTGTGTCTTTCTTCATACCATAAATTGACGTATCAAAATGCTTCTGCACTGTTTAGTCAAAATTGTTTCACTGGGTGACTAAGAATCGCTAAGCTAAAATGCTTTATTCATGTTTAAAATCGTCTAACTTAGTGTTATAATAGAAATGGCCTTTTTTTATTTGCGAAAGAAATTCCAGTGGTCTTTAATTTGTTTTAAAGGGTCAATTACAAAAGGTCAAAGTCGCCATCTTTCTTCTGTAAACGGGACTGGCAATTCTGGTGTTCATTCATATATTCTGGTGAACCGTAAGTAGTTTACTTGTTCTCATGTACGTTAGCACGTTTAGAGACGTAAATGAAATTATAATTTTTCACTGACTGATTGCCTCTTGAATGAGATCATTTAACGCTTGTCAAAATAGGTGTCAACTTTCGCAAGAAATCGTCAAGTATAATAAATGTTGTCAGTGTAATCACGTACTCTTTGGTGCCTTGATTGAATTTACTTTTGTGATATTTAGACTTCTTTTCAAGTATTCATCATCATCCGAGCGGGTTCTTTGCCAGACGTACAAATGTTTAAGGACGCCCCTATACAATGTTAAAAATGCCTTTGTTGTCATTAAAAAGTGCAATAATTTTGTGTCCTCGGAGTAATGTGTGCTTTTAGTTTTTCTGTCACGTGTGTGGTTCTTTTGTTTGAAACGAGGAATGTGTTCTCATTAAAAAGTTTTCAGTTGTAGGATTCCTGCCCATTTGTTTGAATTCTGTTGACATTGGCACATTAAACAATCAAGTCTTCAATTTTTGGCCTGAAAAATGTCATATCCAACGCAGTGGACATCAGCCAACATAGCACCTCAGGGTGCAGGTATTTCTCCTCAGGGTGATGTTATACAGAACGCTGCTATTTTTAACCACTTTAACTCAGGAGCGCCTTTGCGCCAGCCCGCTCCTCCCATGCAAATCCAGTTGAACCAGGCTCATCCTACTCAAAATTCTGCTGGATATTGCCCGACGGCTCCGGGAGGCTATTCTTTTGTTTACCCTGCCCTCATGGCAGCTTTTGCTGCTCAATCAGGTGCTGTTCAATCACGACAAACATCTGGATTCTGTGTTCCACAGGGTAATTCTCAATCTAATGCCGCAGCTGCTGCCGCAGCAGCAGCAGCACTTAGAGGAACAGCTCTTCTGTCCCCACCCACGGCCTTCCAACCGCCTCCACCACCACCTGCCCAGCATCCCCTGGCTCATCTACAATACTTTCCTCCTTTAAATGGTATACAGCTGGCGGCTGCTTTTCCTGGGGCTTCTTCCACTGCCTCATTTCCTAACACCTCTTCTCTAACACAGCAGCATGCAGCAGCTCTGCCCACACCTCAGTTTCGTGGCTATGATTCTTTGAAACATTTTGGTGCTCTTCCCCAAACCATGGTAAATTCCGATCTCAGTTGCCCTGGTCTACCATATTTCCTTGTTCCTAAGTGATTTATTTTATTTTGCACTTTCTTTTCGCTCATGAACTACAAGAATCCATTCCTTCATGTTTGCTTTAAGCTAGACACTTATCGCACTATATACTATAAGGAATTGTAATCCCAACTTTATACTTTCCAGTGTTGCTAGTGGCTACATTGTCACTGACAGTTTATCGCAAATGTTGGCTAATACTTTGAGATATCTGGTCTCCATTTCAAGTTAATTAAATATATACGAAATAACAGATCTTTGGAGTCGTACGTAAAATGCAGTCGCTTAAATTTTCTCCGTTGTATCCCTGCCTCGTTTTGTACTTTACATGGGGGTTTTCCGTCTCCTACGGTTTTAGAACCACAAGCGGAATAAATCCATGACCACGTCCAAAACGAATCTGTATATATCTGGTCTTTCTGAATCTGACACCGATGAATCCGTTCGAGCTCTTGTTGAAGATGTCGTGCGTCCAAAGTCTTGCAAAGCTATGCTTCTTAATGGAAAATGCAAAGGTGAGTTCCTTTTTCTTGAACTGTTTGTTGCCTAACTACTCGTTGTTTGCCTTCTCGTTTGTTTGCCTCTTTTTCTGGCGTCGTGACGAAATATTAACCAATTTATGTTCGAGATTGCACTACCGTTTCTTTGACAAACATTTTTTGCCACAAGATTATTCCTAAGATGGTTCATTGCTGTTTCGCGTTTATTTTGATGTAATCATTCGATCGTTGTCATCCTACAAATTTTCGTTTTAGACCCATGGTCCCCTGAAAACCTGCTTTAATGAATTTTTCACTGAATCTAGCACCCATTAATAAGTTACTTTGCAATCACGAAAGCATGCCTGACTTGTTTGACGTAAGGCTTAAGTGTTGCAGTATAACAGTCCCTTCTTCGGTTTCTTACTTCGTGGTTTATTTACATCCAGGGTCTGGATTCATTGACTGCGCAACTGAGGAGGATGCGATTAAAGCACTTAATCATCTCTCTGAGATGGCCAAGAATGGTGGCCGGAAGTTAAATGTCAAATACGCCTTAGAAAACGAGAAGGACCTCCTCAATGTGTACGTGAGGAATTTGCCCAAGACTGGGTTTACAAAAGAAACTCTTGAAAATCTCTTCCGGCCATACGGTCAGGTGACGTCGGTTAAATTGCTTGAAACCGACGGCGTTTACACCGGTATGTGATTTGCTACTATTTAGTGGGCGGTCTGAGATCGATGAGTTCAGTAATTAAGTCGTCTTGGGGAGTGTTGACATCCCCAGCACCCTTTAATTTGTCGTGTTTAGTCTTCTAGGCGCTTCGTTCTGGCCACTTTTATAATCGGAGCTCCCAAATCGAATTATTAAGAACAAGTGCTCCAGTGAAATTTACTTGCAAAAGTCACGTTAGGCTCTTATACTGAAATACCTTTATCGGCCTCTTGTACGCTAGGGCCCCATTGCTTTAACTTGTGAAATTAGTTTATACTTGAAAGGGTCCATCGGTTATTGTAATAGAAGATTTTTTTGAATACCAGTAGCGCAATCTAACCGAAACCAGCAAATGCCTCACATAAGTTTATTATCGACTGGAATTAATAAGTTGGTCTAACGTGGGCAATGTTTTAATTCGATGCAATAACTGCTCTTATCTCCCATATGTAGGTATTGGCTTCGTTCGATTTGCCTCAGCTGATCAGGCCCAACGTGCTGTGGAAAGCATGAACGAGCGGCGTTACGTACTGACTGGTGGTAATGGAAACGGCGATTCATCAAATGACAATGGCTCGGCCAAACCAATTTGCTGCAAATTAGCTGACAAAGCCGATCCAAAACGGCGGGCTGCAGCAACAGCGGCGGCAACCGGCAGTATCCCTTCGGGACACAACCCTTCATCTTCCGCCGTCGGTCTTTCGCGCCCCAAATTTCACCACCATCAACGCCATCACCAGCCTGCGCAACAGCAGCTTGTCCCTGGTGAATTGCATTTACAAAGCCACCACCAGCAACCGTTGGCGGCACATACAGTCCCGAATCAGCAGATTCCGCATGGGCTCATCTATCAACCTGGTAAGTCTTTTTACATCAGTCATGCTCTAAGTTTGGCCTCTACTGCTTGGTGGCGCTTCCTTCCTGTGTCTCGGCTGTTTCTATTTTAGCTTCCCTTGGATTGCTTCCGGTCCGCAGGTATTGTTTAACGGACGTCTGTTAACTCCACTAGACTTACGGGAAGGGTTAGCTTCCTAATATCAGCATAAGCTTCCCACCTCAATTACTAATTTGAGACACTGCGGATTGGTGTTCGCTTCGAACCTGCTTGGCGTGAACAATACCACTTTCGTCGTATGGTTTTCAGTCCTAATAAAGCCTTTTTTATCCCAAGTAGGCATGCTCCCTGATGGCGCTAACATGATTGCGACTGCCATATGTTCCCCTCCCGCCGCAGGCTATGCCCCGCCTCCCAATCCCCCCTCCTCATGCTACCCCGCCGCGCGTCCTGCCGACCCCCACGAAGTTTCCCGTTCGACTTCCACGGGCCTTCTCGAGATGCCAACTCCTCAGTCTCCGCCCACGGACCTCTTGCCAGCAGTAAATGGCCATTCGCCTGCAGGGGCCGCCACTGGTATTGACTCTCGGTACGCGGTACAATTCGCTGCTGCCGTAGCTGCTTCTCAGTTGCCCTCAACTGGAGCTGTTTCAAACGCCGTGATGGTGAGTTAAATTCTGTCCGTCATTGGAATAGACTTTTAAATCCCGTTTTCCTTCCTTTTTTTACAGCATTATCCGTGACCGTGAGAACTCATTTTAAAAAATATTCCCTAGGCTATGTTGGTAGGTATTGCAATGGCACGGGTTGTATTGGCATGGCTTACGGACTTCGGAATGCCAACTTCAGTAATTTTCACCTTACATTTTGACGCTTATTTGTTATAGTCAAATTTGTGTTCCGTGCAAGTTCACTTTTAACTAACATGGCAATTGGATGCCAATTTTTTCGCCTTAATCACGTGGCAGTTGCTATGTTGCGTTTGTGTTAACGCCTGATTAAGAGCTATTTCACCTTAGACGTGTCGAGTTTCGCTACACTCGAACTCGCGCTCTTGCTTAATGTGCGATTATGTCATCGAATTTCACCGTCTCTGGTGTGACTATTTACTTTATTCATCCAAAACGAGCACCCAGCCGGGTTCCTGTCGTTAGGTAAGCCATGGCAACTGCTCATGCAACCTTGGAACGTCTTGACTTCGACAATAATGAGCGAACTGTCGTTATCTCGACACTCCATGGCTTGGGCGCAGCCGTCAAATGTCCAGCCTACAGTAAACCGGCTACTCCAAGAAAAATGTGCCATCAAAATTCAAAAAAATTAAAAAAATGGCGATGACGAAAAACAGCACTTATTGAAATTATATTGTCATAGTAACTAATTTTTTTTGAAGAATGGATAAGAATTGCCTAACTGTTGGCCAACCTTGCCCTCCAACATTTAATGACGGTTATACTCCTCTGGGATATTTGAGTATGGAATGGCCAAGGCAATGGTACAAAAGCTGGTATTGGTAAAACGTATGAAAGCTAAACACAAATAAACCCAACGCAGTTTTGTTCCATCTCAAGTTCACCATTCGACATGGCTTTGCTACTATTGATGAATATGCCCGATACTTCCGACCGGCCCTTTCATTAAAACAATGCTGATCCAACTAATTCATCCTTTGGATTTCAACCTAAGGCCCGGCCTAAACCAAAGTTGCTATTTCGAGCTAAAAGATAACATCTCAGAAAACCCAACAAGTATAGCCGTTGCGATTCTCTGGCAATGTGGGCGATCAGAACTTTCATTTCTGGGTAATATTATATAGATGTGGTACCACTGCAGAGCCATGGTGGTGATCAGTCGACTCGGTGTTTGTCCTTTAGTCCTAGAACTCGTAGTATTAGCAAGAATAGTAGCATCTTGCTTGCTTAGTTCTGTCATGTTTGTTTGATGTGACGCAGCTATGGCTTACCCACATCGCTCGGCTCCCCCACCTAACGAGCGGCCCCATGTTTACTGTTGTTCAATGCAACTTCTCCATCTCGGCTCGTTTTGCAAATTCCGAAAAGCACATCTCATTCTACCTCTTCTAGTTCAATTCATTGAATCCTTTATGACGTGATTACCATCCCCTTAAACTAATTAAACCTGTTAGCGACTCGACAAATCCAGTAAATCAAACAGTCGTTGCTTTGATGCATTGCATTGAAATTTGCACTCACCTACAGTCACCCTGGAAATAACTGGTGGATGTTAATATTAATTTGGATCGACCATTTCCAGTCGACTTCCTACAAGTTAGTATTTCGCGGTGTAGCTTGTGCTCATTCTAATTGCTACTTTTACTGGCGAGGGTTATAGTGCTCTTTCCCCTAATAGGCTTGCTTTGTTAGACTACAAAACAACGAATGCCTCACCTTCCATCTAGCTACTTCTGTTCCAGCTTATTGTCATTTATTCAGCGCTGTATACCCTTAGCCGGGTTCTGCAGTGTTTTGTCTCATTAATGCAGGATCCATCTGCTTCTGGGGAATTGCCGACGCGTGCTGATGCTAAATGACGGCTCATTTCATGTCACTCGGGCTATTCTATTGGCCGTCCTAAGAAATGCACTCTGTTTACACCTATTCCAAGACGCAACACCAGCCTGTGTGGCCCAAAATATGGTTTTGTGGAAAACCATCCTTCAAGTAATTTGCGCCGCGCGCTCACTGGTTGGTCACGCTCAAAATTCGGTGTGTAGAAACGGGACAGTATTTTTTTTCTCGACCCAATTTCCACTTTAAAAACTGGCTTTGCGTCATCAGATTTGACAGTCGTGAACTCAAATTTTTAACAAGTAACGGATGTCCCATGTCGCTTCTAAACACTTCTTTCAATTATTGTTGTAGTATTCACCATCCAACGCGGTTGTGGCCGCCAGCCAGTTTTCAAGGCCCACACAACCTCTGGTTCAGCCCACATATTCGACTTCTTACACAACACCAGGCAATGGTGCAGGACATTACGCAGCCCAGGGTGGCCAGCCAATACAGCCCTGCAGCAACCTCCAGAATCCCAGTGACCTCCTCGCTGAACAGCTTCAGTCGCTGTCTCTAGCAGCACGCCAGTCGCACCACCTCTACCCTGACTGGTCGGCTGCAGGGTATCACGTGGCTCCAGTCACTACTGCTGCCTACCAGTTGCCGATGCCTAACGAGGCCTACTTAGACTCGGCTACAACTGCTCTCTTGGGAAGCTACGTCCAACTGCCTCCTCGTCCTCCTCAAGCAACGGAGAACTCGGACCAAGAAATTATGCGAGATAATGCGGCCCCAGGGAAAGAGGATAGAGGAACAGAACAGGTTGACCCTGCAGTGGCTCCTACCGAAACAGAAAACGCAGCTACCTCGTCATCTTAAAATCCTTGTCCTCATCATACCTTCCAGTCCCATTTTTTCTCACTTCTCATTTTTCTAGTACTACTGCTGCCACCACGAAACAATCACGCGTGTGAAGAGTTTGTGCATGCCTTTTCCACAACTCTGAGCGACATTAAATGCTCACACGGTCCATCAAATTTCAGTACCCACTTTTTCTGTAAATCAATGTGTGCGTGTATTCCCTTCCTTTCCCCCTCAAACCAGCGTTTAGCGGTTCTTTCTTAAAGTATGAAAATTTGTGTATGTTCCATACTATCTGGAAATGTTCTCCACGGAGTGACAGGGTGGTTCGTGATACGTGATCACCACCAAAAATCACGGGCCTTCACTTTCAGAAACGAAGGACGCAGGGTTACGCGCTGGAGTTACGCTGTCACTCCTTCGCAATCATGTCGTAGGGTTATGTTGATTTACATGGAACGCAGCTGCATTGCCGGCGAAATAGAATCCGAGCTTAGGTTTACGCGTCGCCAGCTAACCATCGGCAAAATGGGGGGTTATACGCTGGGGATGCGTTTTCTTCCCGAGGTCCAATTGTCTGCACAAACGTTTGACACTGCAGAGCTAAGCTTTAAATGTAGTTCGCAGTGGCGACCGTGGCGATGTCATTCGGTGTGATTAATGGAGACGTTGCTGCTATTCAGATGTTCAATCTATATTCGTTGACACCCTCCAATCGCATTTACAACTACTAGTTCACTTCGATGTCGAGGTCAAGCTGCAACGGCATCCCTTCGCCAAACTGAGGTCACGCAAATTAGCTGCTTCGCCTCTGACCATGTGCTGCGGTCGCGCGATACCCCAGACGATTGGTTGTAAGAACACCCGCAACAGAGCTGTAGTGCGCGTCCTTAAAGTTATGTGGGGGCTGGAGACATGATGACTGATGGTGACCACAGAAGAGCTACGCAGCAGCGATTTACTCACACCCAGGAGCTGTCTTGAGAATGGTCAATGGATCGCAAATGCGGTAAAGATCGTCGCTACATATTTCAACGCTAGTAAGCACATGTGGCTATACCAGTGGCGGGTAACAGATGCACCAGGCAGGCGTTTGACTATGTAATGGGGCATTTTCTCAACTGCAAGATAGACGGCTTTACAAGGCGCAAAATCACTAAATTCAGTACAACTTCAACAGTCCCGAACTTGATTAGACCGAAAGGCTGGACTACGGGATCACATGTGGATTGGGGGGCGGGTCCAGAACTGCAAAAGTGGGTGGGACAGAAGCCGTTAATGGCCAACCTAAACCGCGTCAGAATCTAGGCAGCAGCCACCTAAGAAATGCAACATGGAATGACCACGCGTGGTCATTAGGATTCTTTAGTCTCTTACTAGACAGGGCCCATCTCAGCAAACTTTAAATATAGAAGACGAGGGACTCTGAAAGAGGTACATAAAGACAAACTCCTGCTTAATCCTGCCCTCAATTCCCCAAAGGGCACATTGAGAATATCGTGCAAGCCTAATTGCCAGGCTGTGCCACGTGTCCGACAGAGCGTTTTGGCGGTACACGAATAATATATGAAATTATATTAACCACTACAGTACTCCTGGCCCTTCCTGACTTCTCGGTACTCAGATGCAGGCAAGTTCATCAAGACTACCAAGACAAGGTCTTGTTTTAAAAGCTTTACTTTGGTCTAGATCCTTATAAAATATTATCTTTAGACATATAAACGCACACACGCACAATCTAGAATCATTATCCGCGCGGTCGGATTAGCGTTTTCTGATGGTGCTGCCAGCCCACTCAATTTTGTTGGCGTTCCTTAGCACATTGAGGCCGTCCTCAAACGCCTCCGTAGAAATCATCCGCTCCGAACCAGCCCGAAGTTGTTCGAGGACTCGCGAGTACGCGAACGTGATGACTCGCGGACGCTGCTCGAGGATCGACCAAATCGCCGCGGCCATTTCTTCGCGACGCTTGCGCACACTACTACTTACACCTATACAAAAAATTATTCATTCATGACAGAAAATCAAGAATATGTAGGAAGAATAATGCTAACATTGGTCTTGGTTGTGTGCGTACGACTGGCACGACTTTCAGTAAACTCGCATTCAAGTTTCGGTTTTACAGATTCCCAAAAATTACATGAAATTCAGTGGCAAATTGAAATTTAGGACTTGGATGTCTACCACCCCATGGGAGGTTCAACCAGGCCAGTAACACATGAGGGGTACAAAGAACAGGCACACACATACCCGTGGTCAGAATATTGATATCGATTGTGCCGGTGACCGGATCAATGGCGGCTTGCTTGATGGCTTCGCGCTGGAGACGCCTGGCCTCACGACAGTCGTCGGCGCTTACTGAGTTCGACAAGCGCATTCGAGCATGGGCTTCGGCAAGGCGAATAAGAGATTCCAACTGACGCGGGTACGCAGTTATCTACATTCATAGCACAATTGACTGCATAGCACAAAGTGGGGTGCAAAAGACTGGGGTAGGTTTAAAATCTGAATCGCATGATTCAATGGCTACATCAATATCCAATCTGAGACCTAGCCCTTAGGTCGAATAGTAACTCGGGTGCTAAGTAAAAAGTAAACAAAACGCCGTTAAGTAAGAAGGCTACTGAACTAGAGACAAGCTAAGTTACCTGCCCACGGCTGGCGCCAAGTTTTCGCATTTCGACGTATTCACGGACCAGATATTCACCGGCTTCCTCGCTCAACGACGGATTGTACATGGCCTTTAAGACAATAACAAGAAGGTAGTAGGTCTACAGCCAGCCACTGTAAATTTTTTCGGCGGTCACCTTTACTTAGCACTACATCCATTCTTAGTCAAATCTAATTCATAGAGCAAGGTGTCTGGGGCCCATTTGTTCACAATTATACTCACTAATAATGATCGCAGAATACTGTAGTTTAATCTATTCTGTAAATAATGAACGCGCCCAATGTTTCTCACTTGTTTTTTTCAGGGTCAGTTAGTCGTCAAACCTGTGCGCGAGAAGAACGGATTATGACGCGTCGCAGCAGCCGTTATATGGTGAAATAAAACCCCGGATTTACAACCGCTAGAACACGTCACATTAATCGAAAATACTGGCACTGTTGAATAAATGTGGGGAATTCAAACAAATAAACAAAGGTCGAGGTAACGAGCAAACACGATTTAAGAGAAGTTTCGCTGCGGCGGAGGCAAACCAACCGAGCCATACCACACTGGGGGCTTGTGGTGGAACCCAGACTTCCGCAAATACGAGAACAGCTCACTCCGAAGGAGCGGACCGCAAGAAACTCACCGGCCAACTGCAAATGTCACAATGTGGCGTATAAAATTGCTTAGTGATGACCACCAGCCCAAACAACAAGCACATAGGCTAAAACAGCGTTCTAAGGCTTGAGGGAGAGGCGTGACTGTGATACAACCTAACACTACTAGGAGACTCCAAAATGGCTTTAGAAAAGAAAATGTTGACTCTGACGACCAGAGAGCTACCCCGGTTGGAACGTCAGCACTCTGCCCCAAACGTAGTCATGGAAAGGTGGAGGCACCGAGGAAGCGCCATTGGTGCGTTGATCACCACATCAAGGCACTGTGCTACCCCCGAGGTGTTACAACCTTCTTAGACCGCGAGAATTTGTGCATTTGCTACATGGCAAACTTAATGGATCGACCCAAGCAGCACGATTATGTGAGCCAATGTTGGCTTGAATTTAACAATTATTGACGCGACTGGTGAATAGGGCTTGGGAACACTGAAGCACTGCAAACAGACACCATTGTCTTGATCGAAACCGTGTGGTTGGGGGGTAGTTGAGTGGGGTGCCAGCGGAGGCCCACTTCCAGGAGCCTGTTCGGACAGGTCTGGTACGAAAGGATTAGCATGTCACTCTCCCCCGCCTGCCTGGACTCCGCTTTCATTGGTTCTCACGCCCAGCTAATCCTCACTGTTCACAAGCGCTCGACAAATAGGCCAACGCACACACAGAGGGTGAATAAACCATTGTACCGGCTATTCCGCATACTTATTTGATTCGGTGGATAGCGGAAAATTGCATTTTCCCACCGAACCACAATCCAATGACAAAAGTCACGGACACCACAGTGATTGAATCAATGGCGCCAGTCATATACGCCAAACACAATCGATTAATGAAACTGGTTGCCTACAGCTCTACTAGCGTAAGGGGGTTTTAACATCGTGGACATAAAAAGAGCACAACTGCCAGCATACCTTCGCGTAAGCGATGTAGTCCCGCAGCATTGCAGCTGAGTCACCATGGTAGGCAGGATCTTCTTCGTCTAGAGCCATTGTAGAAGTCATTGTGGGGCAACCTCGGCCAGATGACTCCGTGGCTGAGCCTCTATAATAAAGCCCAACTAAGTGGCGCGCCAAGCGGGCGTCGTAGACTTCATCCTGGGGGTCGAGGATCAAGAAAATGAGGTCGAATCGCGAGAGGAGAGTGTGCGGTAACTAAGATGGCATAAAAAGAAGGCAGTTAATTTGCGCGAGTGAGTGTTCGAGCACTCGAGTCAGATGACGTTTGACGTCACCAAACACAAACATTGGGTGGTTTGACGTGATTTTGGGTTTCGAAATGTTGAAGCACATGGAAAAACCCAAAAAGGACACGAGAAAGCAGACCCCGGCTTTCTGAGGACCACGAAAGTGATTGGCATCGGCAGGAAAACACCTCCGTAAAGCGCCTGGAGACCTAAAGGCATGTTTATACAACGTAAACCAGCAGAATGGGAAGGTAACAGAACAAAAGAAGGCTTGTGCATTAACACCAACTTAGATCGCCGAAAATATAAAAACAACTGATTTGAGAATTTCATAGCACGATGCGATCATGCTGAATAAGTAGACAGATCATCACACACCTTCCATTCAACAGGATATAATCAATCTGGCAAACTTAGAGATGGGGAAAAATCTGGTCAACGTCGAATTTTAGGTGATAGCAAAACTACCCATAGATTTAAGGGAATTGGGTTTTGTATCAAAAAACCCTTGTCGAAACGCCAATCGTTTGGAAAAACAAAACGCCTAAACCCCATTGTCACACGAAATGAACGCACAAAATGTGGTCATAGCCGTACCTCAATCTCATGCCTATTGAACGTACGTACAGGCTTGGTAACACCCCTTGGTACCTCCTCAACTAAAAACAACCTTCTGCTTGAGGTTGGCTTTGGGCTCCTCGAAAATGACCCAATCCGAACGACAAATACCCACGCCCCCCCCAGCAAAAAAAAGTGGGTCAATCGTCAAACATGCAGGCGAAAGCTAACCTATTAAAAGCGTTTTTTATGAATGCTGCTAACTTACGCTATTCCATAAATAAAAACATTTTAATACTAGGTTGCATTCGAGTCACTATCCTGATTTTACCCTGTTTCAACAAAATTTAGGCAAATTCTTTATGCAAACGCAACATAACCAAAGTTATCTCGTTCATAGTAGAAAACCCAAAGAAGTACATCGTGAGGAACTGAAGCAGTAAACATCTTACAGTTATCACAGTTACACGACTCACGAAGATTTCAATCTACTCAGCCGACTGGTGATTCTATGCACAAAAGAGCACTTTTGGGGCTGAATTTCGGACCCTAATCAAGACCGTCCTAGTTAAACCTACCCAAGCTATTACGTGTGTTTATTCTGTGGAACAAGTTTGATAAATAAGAAACGAAATAAGCGAGGTGAGTAGCTTGTGTCAACTGCGCAGACTACATGACAGTTCGGTATAAGCTATAAACACCGAAGAACAATCTAAGGTGTGAATAGCGGGCGCTTGTCTAATTGTCGATTTAAACCAGCGATTAAAATAATCGAGCAAATACTGCACCACTTCGATTGGCATGTACTCTATCGCGAGACACATCCGCGTGGGTTTAATCGTAAATCTACGCAGTGATTGGGCCTTCTGGCACATATTTATAGCCATTACGTTTATTCCCAACTAAAAGGGTTGACGGTTCATTACCAGTCGGGACGACTAAATCAACCTCGGCCATCGGCCTACCACACTGCACCGGTCCCCTCGCACCCACAGTTGCTGATGCCCCGGCCAAACAACCGAAATCTCAAACCACCGGCTGGTGATGACTTCACTGCCCTAGATTCCTTACAACTGGCACTAGTAAACTGACACCGAGGCGTCAGAGGTATCAAAAAGTACTGCCACCGTTGACAGTTATAATGTCAACCTGGAAATTGTCAAGGCTGTTCATTTTAGCTGCACTAAAAGGGGTGGAGTCTGTAGCCAGTTTCAGTTCAGAGGAACACGAGAGGCGAAGATGGAAGCTCGGAAATACTACTTTGGCAGAAAAGGGCTCAACATAGCTTGAGCAACGGGTTGCTATTATGACACATGTGGTTCTGAATAGGAATTACTTGTACCAATGATAAAAGTTGTTCAACTATGGCAACTGCATATGAAGTAAAATGGGCAAAAAGGATTCGAAATCAGACCTGGATGTTGTCGATGATGGTCTTCGAGGGATCCCACTTTGACCCAACGGGATTAGCAGCGGCGAGGATAGCAGTGCGAGCGTTTAACTGACAGAGAATGCCGGCTTTGGCGATACTTAGCGTCTGCTGTTCCATTACCTCGTGGAGGACTGAGCGAGTGGAGTCGGACATTTTGTCGAATTCATCGATGCAGCAGGTTCCGTTGTCAGCAAGAACTGAAGAAAAGATGGTTCTTTAGATGGATAACCAATTAACAGGACAGTCCTTAATGACTTGGGTAGGATATTGAATGAATGTTGGCTGCCGACTAAATTTAAACTTCTGATTCTGCGGTGATACTCTTTAAACTGTTAGAATGCGTGAATTGAGTGAATCATTAACATTTCAAAATGCAAGCTGACGTTTCCTCTATGGTCAATGAGCTGAAAGCACCGAATTGCATTGTAGACACCAGATTTTGAGGGAAGCCATGTGAGACCGATAATGAATAGTTTCAACCGAGAACTGTATTCAACGAATTTTTCAACAAATCAGCTGCCTAAATGGGGAGTGCACACTCAGGCATTTATCACGACAGGAATAAGCCCCCGTTGCTTGATCATCTCATGGATTGAACAATTAATGCATACATGTGTCGGGTCTAAGGCTTTTTATGGTAATAAGACGTGTGAGATACAGAGAATTGATGTGAAAAAGCTAGTCTGCAAAAACGTTCTCAATGAAATGGAACCTCTCATTCGATCAGGATCACTAATCAAAACCATGAGAAAAAAAGATAACAACTATGGGAGTGGGCTTGAACTGGGCCGGTAGAGCAAACAGTGAACAATGACTGACATCGCCGAAAATGCAACCAAGGCCAAACGAGCGCATGTATTTACAATCCCCGAAACGACCAGTGACCACCAAACGGGACGCATATTGGCACTTAAAAAGGGTACTCCTCGTTTGACACACGATAAAAGGCTATCACAAAAATAGATTTGCCGTCCAGGTTGCAACCCTCTTCATCCATTCAAAGCAAACCAACCTGGATTTTAAGCAACAAATTTAGGTGAATTGGACAGGTCATGAAAAGCATAGAAATGCCAACTAGCATAGGCGTACCAAGAGCACCAGTTTGTAAAGCGAGCTGCCCTGTCTCCGGGTCTTTGGTTACATAGGCCGTTAGGCCTACAGCTGAGCTGCCTTTTCCTGACGTATACTGGCCACGAGGCGAAATGTGGTAGACGTATTGAAGCAGCTGCGACTTTGACGTGCCAGGGTCCCCGCACAGGAGAATGTTTATCTCCGACCGAAAGTTGCCACGACCCTTCGAAGCGAAATCCTTCCTTGTACCGCCGAAGAGCTGAATTGAACAATTAAAAACAATGGGGTGCGCTAATCTGTTAACAAGTAACTCAAACACGAGAAAACAAACTTAGTGTAAATAGCCCCAGTGATTTTAATAAACTTTTTTTTCGGATGGCGAAGAGAAAAGTAGACACCTGACAGTAAAGAGCCCCTAAAAATTGAGTCGCTTGGGCCGCGACCAGTAATCACAGTGGTGCAATTGGAGTGCAATTAGACACCCCAGGAAGTGAATGCTGGTGGACGACTCATAATTACGATCCACTACCACAGACCACTTGAAAGAACGCTAGCACTATGACCATTTTGAGTGAATGTGAACTGGAACCTTGTTGCTGGACATGCCTTAAAGCACACATGAACAACCGTCACATTACAGGCACACAACAGGCACGATCAGAGAAAATCGCTAGTAAATGACCTCAGAATTAAAACAGGGAGGTTACTTGAACACATAACTTCCGCTAATGGTAATCACAACCATGCCCGCCGTGACGGACACAACACTTGCTTCAATAGTGACATGATTAATACTAGAGAGAAGGCGAGATTGGAGCGACTACTCAAAGTACACACACCTTGCATCATCGTCAATTTTCAAGACTGACATACAGAAAAGGCACTGCTTTGTGCTTGCTTCCATTATCAGTGACGAAACCGTGGCTATACGCGATTTCATGCTCATTATAAAGCGGTGAAAATCCAAAAAAACTACCATCAAAGAATGGTATTTCGATCAGTGTGGCCGTGAAAAAAGATGAGCCCACCTGTAGAAGGATGCCTTTTTTCACGTCCTCGTTCTCGTAGATACTGGGAGCAATAGCTGCCGACAGTCGTTCATAGAGGTCGGGCTTTTGTGAGAGAGCGATTATCTGCGCGCGGCGCTCCTCAGTGAGGTGACGGAAAATCGTGGGTGAGGCCTCGTCACCTTGAGGTGTATCATCTTCATTCTCGTCTAATAATAGACGGCCCGATATTTCTTTCCTACGAGGGACGCATCGACGGTAGAGAGTTAATAAGCAACCATATGTTGGCGGCAACAACAAGTGATTCAGAATCGACTCCAGGACCAATTGAATGACCACACAAGTTAAATTTCTAGAACAGGATCTTTACACGGCTGGAAAGAGACCTTTAATACGGGAATTTTGATGTATGCTGTTTTTAAAAAAGGTTCTGAAATCAAAATTTTACAGTGCTTCTGTTCCGGCAAAACAATTGGTATGTTTTCTACGCCGAATGACAACTTCAAAAATGACATTTGAGAATAAAGAACGGTTATACAACAGAAGTCGACTTACACGAAAAGGAATAATAGTTATAAGGACATACTTGAAATGGAGTACGTCTAGGTAAGTTTTATAGACAGCCTTCAACGACCTCTGTCTATTCGAAAGTTTGAGAGGCAAGGCTCTGTAGATCCCGGTTACACAAACACGGTCACCAGGTTTCACCTTATCAACTAGGTCTTCGTGTGCATACAGGGCAACAGTGTGCGGCGTCTGGCTTGCCGGCATGTCCTCAGGAGCTTCCTGCAGGTCCGAAAGATGATAATTTAATAACGAAACTTGGATAACAAGAGGTGTCGAAGGGGAAGAAATTTACCTGTAGCTTAATTAGCTGCTTATCTACAAACAGGCATCTATTGTGTTGCAATTGCGCGGTGTGGGATGAGTGGCAACGTACACACGCAGCAGGCTCGGCGACACGTCCACGCTCGCACACGACGCTCGACATGGCGCCACAAACTGCACACTTGAATTCGGCCCGCATCATCTCGGGGATAAGACTCGAAAGGCGAATAACGAGGCCGGTTATGGACACTAGCTGATCCAGGTCTTCAGGATCAAGTTCGCGAAGAGAACGGGACTTCCCGCTGTTGAAGGGACGAGTCTGCGGGTATAGAGTAGTTAAAATGAAGTACATGATTCGATCTTGGAACAGGCGCACCAATTATGCCTAAAGATTCATTGCACGGAAGACACCCGATACTAATACATCTGAGCGAGATGATTTATGACCGAAGCAGCTGGTACTAGAGATATTACAACTTTATAATTACAAACCCGATCTGTGGCAGGAATAAAAAAACATCAGTTGCTATACAACCTGTTTTAAAAAAGACCGTCGATGGCACGCAACTCTAAACGGTGTCCCAGTATTTTTTTAGATATGCGCCGGTGATTTGACCGAAAACGTCTCAATTCCTGTGCAAAGCATTACTGTACCTGTAGGGGCCTTTCAGGTCTAACATCCCGGAACCGGTCGATGAAGAGGGCGTGCAGGGAGGCATCGCAGGCAGGAATGACCTCCTTCGGGAAAGTGACGAGTTGAGTATAGAGCTCGGGTTGTGCTTCTCGTAGATGCAGACAGTCAATATCAAGTGTTGTACCACCAGATACAGCAAGGTCCTCCATTCGTTGTAAGTAGAGTGGTCTGTTGGGGTCTAGCGGAACACCCGTAGTCAGACCAGGCTGACCTTGTAGGTCGGTCAACGTAAAGCTGAGTAAAAATCGCTTAAAACGCTCCATCACCTTGGCTATGTTCACGCTTGTTCCCCAAATAACGGTCTGTAGATCAAAATACATTTGATGAAAACCCCAAGTGTGGATTCGAACAAGCACTCGTAAATTTTGCAAGGGATCACCATCAGTAAGAATTCATCGGTAACAATACTGCCAAAATAGCTAAGTGCCTGTGCATTCTTAACCTCGAAGTCGGCCAAATAAGACCACGGTTCAGTGCCTGTATTAACGCAAAATGTCGTTTGACAGGAAGAAAATAAAATAAATGTACAACAAATATTTACAAAATTACAAAAAACGAACCGATGGCTCTTAAATCGACATGTCCAACTTTAGTAAAAACGCAGGTCTTGGTATGTCACACGAATCTCTAGAATAAATATGCTACTTGAAACTAAGCACAATTATTCACCAAAATTGTTGGTTATGGAAGACACTCCACAACACCAAAAATTGACTTCACCAGTCACACAAACCCTACGTACCTTAATTTGACATAAGCCAAGTACCAGTTAACATAACATTCCATTCATAAATTGGACGTTAGGACTGAATGAAACAAAGTTTCATTTACCTGAGCCCCAGGTTCTGCGGAGCTGTCAGTTGCCGTATCCCCACCACCGGGTGGCATTGGACCCGAGGTTGGAAATTGTGGTCGGGTGGTGCCACTTTCTTCATTTACTCCAGGTCGAATAGAGGTGTCACCAACGTGGCTTCCCGTCACACTCGACATATCACTATAAGACAGAGGGCTACCCGGCTCCACCTCAGAGGTTCTCAAACCAGAGCGAAGATCCTACAACGCGGGAGAATATGACAGATATCAACCCGAAATCAACAAACTGCATGACAAATTTTGAGTAAACTTACAGCATCTGATGGATCCTCCCCAGCAGCAATTCTCCTGCGGGATCCACGGGTGGCATTGCTTGGGGTTTCACTCATCTCTACATCAAGCTGAGGCGTCCCAGTGGTAAAGAGATCAGCTGATGGTTCCAAAGGGGGCTGGGATGCGGCAACATCAGGGCGGCTTCGAGTAGAACGACGTGAGCTAGAGCTTGACATAAGTGATCACCTGGAAAATGAACCATCAAAAAATGTCTTTGAATTTGAGAATCAAACTATAGAATCCAACAATTAGAAGGTAAACGTTAAAAGATAATAATTATGTCAAAACAGAGTGAATACTTTAGTCAGTAATTGCCATGATAGTCATAGCTTCTAGCAAAAAAATGAAACAATAAACTACCCAAAACGTTGTCAAAAAAAACAACAAATAGCAATCAACATCTGATTGAAACAAACCACAACGATGCATTACCAAACACCACAACATCATGCCAGAACATCGAAAAACCAAAAACGTTTTCGGCATAAGATGACAGCCATCACCCGAAATAACCACAATTAATACCACAATGGTAGACAAAATATTAATATTTGGGCAAGATTAAGTGAAAAAGGTAAGTACCAAAAAACCAGCCAAAAAACCAAGACAAACTACCCGCTGCACTTAAATACTCGGTTTGTGCAGCTGATACAAACATTTACAAAGAACCCTATTTGGGGACGCTGTGACAACCACTCCAATTCTAG